CACGAGTACGTGAGCCGCCAGCGGCGACTGGTAGATGGCAACGCCATCGCGAGTGCGTGAGTCCCTGTCAGAAATTTGTTGCGCCGCCCTTGGGCGCAAAAAACGGTGAAAGCTCACGTACAAAAGCAGAGGGCAGCACACGATGCGATCGCGCGACCCTGCCCGTGAGCAATCTCCCAACTCATCTCTGTTCTTGAAGACATCTGAATTCTTTGACTTATGGGTCTTGTCTTTTTGCCCTATCTAATTCTTTTTACGCACGGCCTAGACGGTTTGCCGTGATCCAACATGATTGAAAATGCGAATGAAAATACTAATTTGGGACTTAATCATGAAGATGATAACACTGGAGCAACTGGCAGTGGAGATCTTGAAGTGGTCGAAGTGGTGTCAGGATTTTCAAAATTTGACGATTATATGAAGGTACAATCATTTAAATCGTGCAATTTTTTCTCAAACTGTGTACTGACATTTTTTTCGTAATGTTGACAACTTTTTATTTCCAATATCTCTTTTAATATAACATGTTTACTCTACTCATTTATTTAATAAGTTGACTTCATTTACTTTAAGGAATATATAACGAGACTGTTTATGTCATGTCTAAAAGAATATCCTTTTCTAATGTGTTAACACTTTGCACTCGTAGCTTTTGTCATTCCAGTTGCCAGTGGCAACTAAGAGTCGCTTCTGAAGTGCAAAGGTACTGATTAACATTAGTACTAATTAACATTAGATAATTAGATATACCGTGAGTGCCAACGTGCCTGGCTTTGGCGGCACAGCTCTTCACAGTAGCTTGACCGCGTAGAGTTTGATCAACCAGTCACTGAATCTTGATCATGTGATTAGAATTTTTTTTGATCCAATGAAATTTCTGACATCCTCGACCCCTGTTTAGGGGGGACACATCAGCGATTTTCAAAATACGAACTGGAATCCACCGAAAAAGCGTTACCTTTGTTTTGTGACACACATACGCACGAAAACAGCGCTTTAGTAAATGGATATGTATAACTCTTTGTGGTTACTAATTTTCAGGCTGGATATGATGCTCTAAAAGCTGGAATCAAAGCATCGAATGGATTGCCCCAAGGAGAAAATTATAATTATTACAGTTGTTTTTCTAGTTTTAATAACATTAAAAATGGTGAAATAAATAAGCTGTTAAGTTCAATGCAATGCATTCTTGAACTGGTGGGCGTTGGTGGAAATATCAGAAGAGGGGAAATTGAAGATAAATTTGAACTTTTATTAGAGGCTAATGATATTTTTCAAGATCGTGCAGTAAATATTTATTTTTAATCATTTTTTTATTTGCATGCAAATGCTTAGTATTTTGAGAATTACTATACATTATTCATTTTAGGGAATTTGTATGGATGAAGAGTCTGGAATAACAAAAAATGCTGGAGTAGAATTGGTTGTATCCCAAGCAAGACCACAAAATGTAACTGGAAGTTGGAATACATTGACATCACTTCAAAATCATAGGAAATCCAATTCCGGTGTTGAGACCATGCGTTTGTTGGCAGCAAGAAACATTCACAGGCCACAGTTAACCTTCAAAGACAAAATTGATAATAGTTCTAAGCCATGGGAACCTAGAATAAAAGATAAACCTAATTCATTAAAACCATTGGCTATATACCTTGAAGAAGGTAAAGAAGGAGAACAGTTCAATCATCCATATGAGTTCGAGCTTGACAAATTTCAACCATCTGAACATCAGTTGCAGAGCTCTGAACCTATCAAGTATAAACCTGTTGGAGAGACTCCTCTGATTATTATCGAAAAGCCAGAGGATATTAAAATATTATTAGATGACTTAAAAAACTATGATGAAATTGCAATTGACTTAGAGCATCATTCATACAGATCATTTCAAGGTATTACTTGTTTAATGCAGATATCAACTCGGGATACAGATTACCTTATAGATACGTTAACATTAAGATCTGAGCTGTATGAATTGAATGAAATCTTCACAAAGCCTTCAGTTTTAAAGGTCTTTCATGGTGCTGACTGTGATATTCAGTGGCTACAAAGAGACCTCTCTTTGTACATTGTTAATATGTTTGATACTCATCAAGCAGCAAAGCACTTGAATCTGCCTTACTTAAGTTTAGGCTACTTACTAAAGCATTATTGTGGGGTTGATCCTAATAAACACTTCCAACTGGCTGATTGGCGCATCCGACCCTTGCCAGAAGAATTGATGAAATATGCCAGAGAAGATACACATTTTCTCTTGTATATAAAAGATATATTAAGAAATGATTTGATCAAGACAGCCAATGGTAAGAGTAACATACTTAAAGCAGTATATGATCGAAGTACTGAGATCTGTAAACATACATATGTGAAGCCTATATATACCGAAGAAAGCTATTTGGGTATATACAGAAAAAGTCAGAAAATGTTCAATAACAAACAACTGTATGCCCTAAAGGAATTATATAAGTGGAGAGATATTACTGCTAGACTGGAGGATGATAGTACTGCTTATATCCTACCAAATCATATGTTATTGAACATTGCTGAAACACTCCCTCGAGAAATGCAAGGCATATTAGCCTGTTGCAATCCCATTCCACCTTTAGTTCGACAAAATCTATTGAAGCTTCATAAGATTATTCTGAAAGCTAGAGATGAACCATTGATAAAACCTGTCCTTGAAGAAGATTTGAGGCAACGTTTAACCCAAAGAAATCAAGCTGTTGACTCGGATACTTGGCTTTATTCTCCACATGACTTACCAAGTGGTATGGAAATTCGTGGAGACTTGCCCTGTCTTTTGGATTTTGATTCATCAAAGGAAATTCCAATAATGAATATGAAGATCAAGCCCACAATTTCATTGTTTGGTAGTCCAGCCATCTCTGACGTAATATTCTTAGTTTTTTAATATCTTTTTCTAACAAAAATAACGGTGCCAGCAGATGATTACAATTTTTTTTCTTCTAGGATGAAGAAGTAGAAATGCAAAAAACTGTAAAAAGAAAAAAGGTGCTTTTTGTGAGCCCATTTGAAAGGTATAAAAAGGTGATACCAATGATAGCTGCAGAAGAAGCAAAGGAAAGAGCTATAGAAGTAGACAAAGAACAAGAACGACTGAAAAATATAGAGAAGGATAAACAACATACCGTTGAAAGTATAGAGCGTGTTCACGATCACTTTAAACAAGTTGCTAATGCGATAAACAAAGATACTAAAAAGAGTAAGAGAAAAAAACGCGCTCGAGTGTTGATGAATGAAATTCATGGTAAAAAGAGAAAGAAAGAATCTAATATAAATACCCCAAGTGAGCAGCAGGAAAAGGCAGAACTAGATATGACAAATCCAATTCCATCATTGGATGCTGCAATAGTACAGGGTTATAAAAAGAAACCTGCCATGATGGAAGAAGTACAAAATATACAGAAAACGTTTGCTGATTCTCAACAGGAGAACAGTAACAAAATCAAACCTCTGAGGTATGTATCAATTCTTAATTAATCTGATAATGAACTATTTCTTGTCTCAGATTTCCTAACCATAATATATATATATAGATCTAACCTCTATGCTTATATTTTTCATCATGTTTCAGAGGTTCACAGAGAAACGATAAAAAAAATAATCGAAAAGAATTACAGGAAAAGGGCATGTTACCTTCAGATTCATTTAATTATAAAACTGTAGACTTCAGTAGTTTTCAAGGCGGTAGTATGACAAACGTAAAACCAGCAGTCTTCCAACCACAAAAGGTAAATTGTAAACACGTCAATGAAAGTATCGAATAAGTACGTTAAATATTTCTACTACATTAAAATGTTATTTTCAGCTGCAACACAAGAAATCGAAAAAAGGAAACAAAAAACGCAAGAAGAAAAATCCAGCTAAAGTACAATAATTTTACCGAATACATTTTTTTACACATCTATCAATACGATGTATCTCGTTACAAAAGGCTTCATGGGATTCTTCCTAAGAAACCCAAACAGAGACTATTCAAAAACGATATGGTTGAAGTTTCAAACATTTTTCTACTTGTTCTTAATCAATCTATGCCTACTAATCACATCTCGTGAAGTGCGAATTTGCTGCATGAGATAGCAAACCCTTTTCAACATACCAAGACGCTTATTATCGAATGAAGGAGATAATGCACTAATTCGTTTTAATTTTCAGCGTTCTAAACTTGAGCCAGGTCTAGAGGCATCTTGTGTATCAATGCGTTAAACGTTGTATTATTTTCAAATGAGTAGAAACGAATGTTCAGTGGTTATCCTTCCGGTGAAAGCTTTTTTCTCTTTACATTGTAACACTCAACAATAAAGTATACTCATTGTGGGCCTGATTGGCGGGATGATAAGTTATACAATGTTATATGATGAGCCAATCTCATCGGATCTAAAATATTCGATTCCAATCGACAGTTCACCTTGAAAGTCGGGTCTCTTGAGTTTACAAATTTCTAGGTGGCCTACTAATGAACTTGACGACCTTTGTAGTCCCCTGAAATATCCAAGGATGTGGTTGAGTCAGTTATCAAACTCGATAGTATAGAGGAAGAAGTATGGAGAGGGAAAGAAATTGTTTTCTCCCGCATTACGCTAGCGGTCTCTCTGCGTCAGGGTTCGCGTTGCGTCGTTTTCAATAGAATTAACGTTTCTTCGTCCGTCGAGGAAGCAAGTCCGTGATCAAGCTCTTTCTACGCAACAGTACTTTGTTCTGCCGTCATGACATTCTTATCTCTTGTCATCTACATTACGTTAAACTTATTAATTGTCTGCAATGCGTTTGATTTTGCGGTGGACGAAGAACTTAACGAAGATGGAATACCCTTAGCTTGGTTGAACGATTCTACTATGGTCGACACCGACAACAATAAGAACCGAACAAAGATCACTTGTTTCGCCCTCGGTTCAGCGGTCTCGCGAAGTTTGGATTTCATCTTCCGTTCGCGTTACCGCAGGGCGAGGGAACTGGATGTCAAGTTCTATTTCACCTCCAGAAATCATCGTTTCCGCGTGGAAATCATGGTAGGAAGGCAGTTTGGATTGGAGTGGGTGGATTTTAAAATCGAACGGCGGACCGTGGTAATAACTCACGGATTTTTGTCCCACGGAAATGAGTCCTGGATCAGAGACTTAGCAGATGCCTTTATTTTCTGGGTGAGTCAACGTTAAGCAAAGTCTACTTCTCTTTCATAGATCAGTCTTTGGGTTTGTCTTCGAATGGAAGTAATTGAATCATTGTTTACGTGGTTTTTCTAATATTGTTCTTTGAACCCAGGGCGACGTTAATGTCATAATTGTCGATTGGAGTACTGCCGCTGATACCTGGAATTATTACAAGGCTGTGTTTTATACCAAAGAAGCTGGGGAACAAACGGCTAGGTACAATATACATATATATAAATTAATTATTTCAAATCGGTAGTTTGAATAGAACAAGGAACTTTGCTTAGGTGTATTTTCTGTTTACAAATCTCTGCGGCATCATATGGACTAGAGATTTAAAATGCAATTAGGCCTTACATTGATTTACGAGGATCTTCCTTTAGTTTGAGTTACGACCACGAATGTGTTCCGTGTTGCTCAATTCTTACTTTAATAATAACATATATGCAACGATATTATCGGAAATGCATAATATATGAATGATAAATATCTTAAATTTCCACCATTATTTCCAGTAGACATATTTTCAATTTGAAATAGTTTTTAATAATTTTAATCTTGAAGTTTTTCCAACAGCGTAAGCTACAAAACCTTCTGAGCAGTAACCTAAATCCCGTTAATTATCCCTGAAGTACATATATTTCCAAATTCATTAAGGAATTCATTGACCATTAGTGAAAGTAATACGTTCTAAAACTGCGAGAAATCATTTTAGTGATTTTTGGTGTAGTTTTTTTTTACATAATATAGAAGAAAAGGCATTTTTGCTCTTTACTCATGATTGCCATTACTATTTATGAAATCAGATCAAATCTATGCTGAAAAAAGCCCGAATGGCAAAAAGCAATATTTGCAATTAATAATTTTGCATGATACAGTAGTTACAGAAAATAATTGATAATTTAATTTCAGTTATTCTTTGTAATCAGCTACTCAGGGTTGATGAACTGAACATCGAACATTTACAAATGGCAAACAAAACAACATAATATAATTGTAATTAATTAATTGACTATATTGAAATTATTTAGCCTTAAATTTGTTAAAGACAAATCCCATTGCAGTATTCATACATTCGAGTAACAATGTTGTAATGTAGTTCGACAAGTACGAATCTTCTAAATATACTGATTTATAAGTGGTTTGGCCATGACCCTGGCCGTGAAGATTTTTAGGTCAACTGATGAACGCGACGATAGAAGCTCAAGGTCCGGACAGTAGTAATTGGGGACCCCTTCATCTCGTAGGCCACAGTCTTGGGGCACACGTGTCTGGTTTCGCAGCTAATGCTTTTTCAAAACAACAAGACAAGTGGAAAATTAAAAGAATAACTGGCCTTGATCCAGCGCAGCCATGCTTTAAGACTGGCAATGCGAGCATGCAACTAGATAGGACTGACGCACCCTTTGTCGATATCATTCACACTAATGGTAGAGCGTTGAGCAATCTGGGACTCGGTTTACCAGAACCCATTGGTACGTGTGAAATTTAATTTTTCTAATTATTTTTATTGGTGCTGGGATTAGTTTTCAAATCAATTTGCAGAATCTAGTAAGTTTGACTCAAATTAGTTTTTTTAAAAGACTTTAAAAACACGTGACAGGCGTGTTTACCCTCTATCATTAATTGGACGTTTATACCCCGGTCACGATTTACTAGAATCGATAATTCTCGATATTTGACAGGTCGTAACTTGATAAATCGTAAAAATGTTAATTATTTTTTTAACTCCCGGTTAAAATGTGGAAAAGTAGTCTATGGTTATATTAAATGCTAATTAAATCGTTAGGTACGTTGCTCAAATATTTGTTTAAACACAATTATGCAATATCTATTTTAATTTAATTTAATTTAATTTAATTATGTTATTTCAGTTTTTTTTTTCTTTCAATTTATTGAATACCAAATCAAATAATAAACTAGATTTCAGCTCGATATATGCACTCTTCTTGCTCTTATATTTTTCTTATTTTTTAACGAATTACTTGACAGACGTATAATGATCCAAATAAACAGAAACTCATGTAAAAAACAAATATTGGTGCAATGGCTAATATTTCTTTTACTTATGCATTTCATGTATTTTAATAAACCATTTTCCTGGAAGGTCACGCCGATTTTTATCCTAATGGTGGAAAAAGGCAACCGGGATGCGGAAGAATTCGATCAGCTATATTCGATAATGTGAGAGTGCCAAGACCAAGTAAGAATAATTCTAATACTAACTTTCTTTTTTTTTACTCAGTGTATAAAAGTTCCGCGTTAGTACTTTTTAATCAGATTACTAAAATAAGGGGTAATCAAGGTTTAATCGTCAATGTTATAGCGATACAACAAGCGATTTGCAGTCATGGGCGTTCTTATGTCTACCTAATTGAGTCACTAATCACTGCCGCTGCCAGAAATTGTACATTTTGGGCACGTCCTTGGGATCTCACTTACAGAAACGCGATTCAGACAATTAGTAAACCGTGTACCTTCAAAACTTGTTCGGAAATGGGTATTAATGCGGAAAAACATCCGCAGCGCGGAACGTTTTTTGTTCTGACAGATAAATCCCCGCCTTTTTGCGGTAAGTTTACTCCTTAAAATTAAACCAATTTATGCTTGAATATATATCATACCTAACAATGCAAAACGTTTCACAGTTGGCGATTCAACGGATGAAGATAGTGTAAAAAATCATCTAAGAGATGATCTCGCAGAAGAGCTAGAGGATTAAGGATACAAGGAGAAAAGTATCAAGTCCGATAAAAGTGTAAATAAGTAAATAAATGCCATTTATTGCCAAAGTGTTACTATAAGTAGCATTTAAATAATCGGATTTTATCCACTGTGTTATTATATACAACTTTGTGTCGTCATTAACATTAGTGTTATATACAGTACGAAATATTTGGTTGTGACTTTCACTTACCCTGGTGATTACTCTATACTCTCCCAGAATAACAAATATGCTTAATATCGCAAATTAACAAGAAAACGGGATACATATCTTTCGTAAAAGCATTAAAGTCGCCATTTGAACACTATGTTTCAATAACTTGCTATCTCCTTGCTATTTGAGGTGAAACCTAATACAAATTGGCAGGTTGATTTACTTAATTTTATTCGTCTGGTACTCTCTGGCAGTTTGTTTAACCTCGAAGTAGACCACGGCAGTTAAACGAATTGACGTTGTTGACGAGAGCGTCTACACACCGCAATGTTACTTATCTGCTTCATGCAGTTTTCAAAAATGGAGAAAGACCCGCGATAAGTTTTGCACCTTCCTTTCTTTCTCGAAGTCAAGTTTGAGAGAGTATAATGCTATCATTGGGAATCGAATTTGACCTTTCAGAGAATGACTTGGACATACGTGGCTGGAAATATACCGGTTCGTCCTTTGCATTCTCCGATCCACCAACCATCGGCTTGTTTCTCATGGACCGTTATCAGATCACCTGGATTTAGACTTAACTCGTCGTTCAGGTTTGCCGAGTATTGATACATGGCCCTACATTGCTCGGTGCCTTCACTTTTGCTGGTTACGTCCGTGGTGTCGATGTCCTGGTTGTTGTTGTCCTCGGATTGACTGCTAAACTCGTCGAAGTCGCTGAAGTCTTCTTCGTCCGGTGGATTTTCGGAATTTCCATCCCCGGCGGTGCGATCAGCCCATTCACGAGCATCGGTTTCGCGCTCCTTTGCCAGGCAAACTTCGTCGAGCTCATCTTGGCTTTCTGGGAGTTCGAAACTTTCGTTCCTTGCCCAGGAAGGAACCTGTCCAATCAATAAGTTTTCAATTTCAATCGATACAATTAAATATACTACCGAAGTGTACAGAGTAGACGAACACACTTTTACAAGATAACGTCAATTATTACGAGACTTTGTCCTTTAATATATTAAACTAGATATACTCCGAGCGCCGACGCTCCCGGCTTCGGCGGCACAGCTCGACAGCGCCGAGTTTGTTCAATCAATTGCCGAATCTCGACCATGCGATCGGAATTTTTTTTGATCTGATAAAACTTTTGACATCCTCGACCCCGATTTAGGGGGGACATCTATCGGCGATTTTCAAATTACGAACCGAAACCCGCCGAAAAAGCGTTACCTTTGTTTTGTGACACAAAACATACACATACATACATACACAAATACATAAATACACATACGCGCGCACGCACACACACACACGGAGATATGTATGCTATCTCATACATATCAATCTTTCATCAAACATACATCTCAGCATACATACCAAAACGTGATCGATTAAATTAGAAAAATAAATGCAAAAAATATGGAACGATTTGTTTCTGGAACGTTTCAAAACGTTTTGACGTTTGATTTATACTTGCAAGTGCAACGTTGGCCGTACCTTAAGCACACTTTGCTGCAATCCTTGCTTATCTCTAGAAACCAGGATATGTTCAGCCAGTGGATGTTTGCCTCTCTTGCCTCCTTCAACTTCAGCAAGAGCACCACCAATCTTGTACCTCGCTGCTTCCAAATACGTCAGCATGGAGCGCATCTGTAAAATGTAATAAGAATTAATTGTACACCGTTTTTTAGCTTAAAACACATATTCTACAACGTTTCGGTGTTAATCAATATCGAAATCAAAATTAGCAACAATACTGCACGATAAAAAACGTTCCATTTTTTTTCTAATATTTTTTCACTTTAACTCGCTTAATTCCGCATTCCTCGTATTTCACTTCCACGAGGAATCAGCGTTATTGTTCATACCGCATGATCCACGGGTCATCGAGAAAACATTCTTGTTTTGTGTGAGATTGCAATCTTTTCCTTTTACTTGCCTCTTACTTATCCTTTTACCATAAACTATGGCGATTTAGTTGCGAGGGACTAGTGTGTAAAAAACGGTGAGCGTACATGATGCAACTTATCCGTAACGTTCTGCGTACTCTCGTCGGCAGCAAACGCTGGAGTCTGTATGAAAGCTCGATGTAAAGTCTCCAGGCCCTCCCTGCCGCGTCTTTCCCTTTCCAAATCCTGCCTGATCAGATGTAAAACTCTAACTAATGCTTGTTTTCGTCGTTCTCTGTTCATAGCTAGGGTTACGTGCTCGGCGTAGAAGTCCGGCAGAAGTTGCTCGGCATTGGATGCATCGTTACTGTCTACCCTGCGGATTAGACTCTTCAAGATCTCCACGTCATGAGACACGTTGCAGTTGCGAATTGGAGTTGACAGTCGATCCGCACTCTATGCAGAAAAGAAAAAAAGAAACATTATAAACTCTGGATTTTATTAACACTAGAACAATCGAAGCCGTCAGAATTATGAATTTCAGATTTCTTGTTTTAAATAACAGAAACTATTGAAGCGCTTTTGTAGGAATTCATGTCGACTTTTCTCGAAATAAAAGAACGATGGTATATGCCAATTTATTTTCTGTCAAACACTATAGTTTCTTCAAAAGTTCCGTATATGTACATCAAAATACGTCAATTTGGTGGGTTTCATTATTTCATACCTTACAGCCTTTAAACGTTTTAAGATCAAATATTATACGGGAACTTTTTCCCGTTTTGTATCTATAATCTTCACGCGACATAACTACGCTGTACTTTTTACATGATGAATTAGGATAAGTTTGTCTATCATTGAGTAGTTCTAATCTGAATAGTTTCAGTTTAAGAATGAAATAATATATCTGAAATATTAGAAGTCTTTATAACTAAAAATTGTTCTGACTAGTTAATTATTTAAATATTGACGATATAAAATTAGAAGAAATAAAATCTTCTTTTAAATATTTGCCAAATTGACGGATGTGGACGGACATACACGCAGAAAAGAATTTGATTCATTGAATAGAATCGTTTGATTGACTGCATTTAGTTCATTCCCGAAAACGTTTTGGTTGGGTGAGCTGAATTTTAGTACGCTTACCCAAACTCAATCGATTGAACCGATTAAAATGTTTTGATTAAATCCTTGTCATAATTTTAGAAAATACTTTAGTCAATAAATCAAACCTTTTTGTTACACGTAGGGTAAAGTAACATATCGTACCATCGATCAAACTGTACCATTACAATATTTAAGAAGATACGGTAAGAAATAGCTATCTAATTAAAAAATGATGAACCTAAACTTGCATACCAGCATAATTAGGTAATTCATCCCGGTACGATTAATCAACTATGATTAATAAGTCAAAACTTCAGTTATCTAAATACTTATACTTCAACAAAAATTACTCTTTTTAGAAATTGCATTGAAAAGAAAGTATGGAACAGGGTCATCCGAAAATGTGAGAAAAACCATTAAAGTGTAAAAAATGGGTTAGTAAAAGATGCACTAATATCAAATCTACCAAATTCTACGCATTCGTTTTTTGTAGGAAAATGTAATTTATGTAATTAATTATCTTTTTCAGATTTTACTTGTATGTTCAAAGTTTTGTTTCGATGTCGTTTTTCATGTGTGGTACAAATTATCCGATTATATTATAATAAAAGACGACGATTTACCCGCCTAGTGGTACAATGTACCACATGCCCTGTTTAAATCGTACTGTTTTAAGGAATATTTTATTTGAATGCCTACCGTGGTAAACACTATTGATGTACATTTATATGTGTACATTGCATGCAGAATTTCACAGATAAATGAAATATGAATTCGTTTATTAAAATACCCTGTCAAAAACATTTGCAATACATTTTACCAAAATTTATGTTACTACATTACTTTAAAATTCGGAGTGATCCATCACAATATTTGATGTGCTCAACCAAAAGTTATTAAGCAAAGACTTTTCTAATGTCAATTAAATATTTAGTTGTGCATTTCATAACTATGTTCTATTGCTGAACCAACAAACATTTGATGATTCAGCTACATATTTGTCGGTGTATATGCATTAAATGTTGGTTGTCCTAGTATTAAACATTACTAATAATTACAGATCGTTATTCAAGGAGATTTAGTTGCCCAATGGATACTTCTCAAACCCTATAAGGTTATTGCAAAATAGACGAAACGAAAGGTGACCTTTTTTCAACTCACCTGCTGTAAACGTGGCGCAAGGGCTTGTAAATGTGCTAAGTAAACGTTGGCCAGGTCCTTTAATGCGCTCAGCCTCTCTTCTTCAAGCAGCTCCATTTGCTTCGCACCTTTTCTGACGGTGCTTTCATATTCTAACCGGGCTCTCTCGGACCTCACACTGACGGTATAAAATTCAGTATCGGCTCGCCTCGAAGAGTCCTCCGCCTTTCTTCTCCTAGTTTCCAATTTATTAACTTCCTTTTCTGTGAGGTGATGGTTCGACGATTTGTTGTTCTGTTGGCTCTGGCCGATCGATTGAAGGCGGGCGAGATCTTGCAGCCTCTCGTTTTCGCGGGCGCAGGCGAAGCTTTGCTTTTTGCTCTTGGAAGCAATCCCTCGCCATTCTTGCAGCGATTTTGAAGCTTTGTCTACGGAATTCTCTATGGATTTACGAGAACGTCCTTGAGCCTCTGCAACACCCACCTGCAAGGAAACGCATTACCGTAATTACAGCCTAAACATCGCGAAGTATCTTTTTCGCATTTTAATCTCGTACCAAATCATCTCCGTTGATTTCTTTAACTCAGAGTAAGTGGATTTTCTTATCCGTAGATGAAAAAATGGCAAAATTGAAAATTCTTCCCAAAATTCTCTTCTCGAAGTTTCTTGTGTTTCAAATAATTTTGTTGCCTATTTACGGCAGTTAACTTGTTCGTTTTGAATAATTAAAAATGTCAATTTAATTTTTGGAATTTCAAAAAGTTTTCTATTTTTCTTCCTTTTTCTTTTTTATGTAATTGCTTTAAAAAGTTGTTCATCGTTAACTTCCAGGTAATAATATTAAGAGATATAAATTACCTTCGAAAGCGCCTACATGGAAAACCATACCAAATTTAATAAAAGGGCTGGTTGCACTAACACTCGCATTATAATCTTTAATCGAGTATTACTTAACGCGGCGGGGTTATTGCTAATCGCCCGACTTTGGGCGGTTGTCTAACTCAGGATATTTTAATCCTCAATTAGTCTAACTTCTATAGCGGCAACATGATTTTCACTAATCCAAAAATAACTAATCACCATTAAGAAATTTCACGCTAATCACGGTAGGTGCAACCAGTCCAAAGTGACGCCATTTTATCAGTTTTCGAAAATTGTCAAATTTTATTTTTCTAGCGTGGTTCAACATCCTTTCTCTTTAAATTGGTCTATTGTTTATTTTCTTGGTGTAATCAGACTAGCAACAATCAGAGATTATGTGCGCGACATTATGTCTCCGATGAGCGCGGATGGGACCCCGTAAACCTTCGACAAAAACATATTCTACGTCAAGAGGAAGCATATGAATACATGTCCCAAACACATCAAATACATGTGCATATAACGCAAGGAGACATGTATTAAAAAATGCCATTTAAGAAAAGAAATCACATTATGGTATTGAAGCGGATACTGAAGCGACATCATATAGATCGATCACGGATTAAAGTTCAATTAATTATGATCTATACAATATGAATTCTATATCGTAAACTTATCTCTGGCGGAAGACTATATTTGCATGTATGCAAATAGACCTTGCGTTACGCTGTTAATTGTAATTACTGCCCAGGCTCTTTCTACAAAGCATGTTAGATAAACTAGCATTATCATAGCCTTGTACGTACCCTTAACGGTTTGGCCAGTTGTTCGCTTAAAGCAATGCCCCAGATTCTATGAGCCTCCGCAGCTGCTTCCATCTCTTCGCCGACGCATCTCCAAGCTTCATTGACGTCTCCAGCACTGTTGCCGCCTACAGAGTCACAGAATTGATAAATATCGTCGATTAGTTGAATGCCAATTGTACGACAGACTTAAAGCAGTTAAGCGAGGCTTCGATGGTGTTCGATTACCTTGATCTTTCGTGCACGCTTTCGTCAATTTACCGCTGAGTTTGCTCAGACCTTTGGCATAGGAGGCTTCCAGTTCCGCCCTAGAAAAGAATTGTTTCTTGTTATATATTAATAAAAGGATAAACTGAAATTAGGATTAAAAAACTAGAAAAGGCGTTTGAATAAGTGCGTTGTCTATAACTAAGAAATAACTGGCTTCGTTGGTACACTTTCAATTTAAAATGTTCAAACATAAATCTCCTTGTCGAATTTTGTCTCTTAATAGTAGATAACTAGAAACTGAAATGGTGATCAACCGATCGCCGAAACTCGATCGTGCGATCGGAATTTTTTTGATCGGATAGTTTTTATAAGATCCTCGATCGGGTTGATTTAGGGGGACATGTTTCAGGGATTTTCGATTTAGGGACCGGGACCCGTCGAAATCGCGTGAAGTTGGTTTCGTAACATACATGTGTGTGTGTGTGTGTTTTATAATCTGAGAGTTGTATAAAAAGGTACGTGCGCGCGCACGCACGCACGCACGCACGCACGTACGTACCTTTTTATACAACTCTCAGATTACAAAATACCGAAACCTAATATAACAGTGATATAAAAAATATAAACACGCCTTCATTAAACGTATTACTAAAGCGCTGTTTTCGTCTGCATGTATATATGTATGTCACGAAACCAACCTCACGCGATTTNTACACTCAAAGGCAAGATGCCCGGATATGGTACATAATATATATCGTAGATATCTACAATAGATGGTCTATAAATATTCGTACGTATTTGTAAAAAAAACTGAATTCATAATCCTTTCCGAGCAGAGTCTGTTTGATACTTTGTTCAGTACAGCTATGCAGAAAAATCCTGCTGTTTTTGACACAGAACAATTTTTGTGTAACTGTCGGGATCTGCACCCCGGACTCACGGGCAGGAAGAAAGAACATTAACCTTGAAGCTACCAAAGCCTATGAAGGAATAAATATTTTTCCGCCTTATGAAGACTTCTTAATCGGTGCTAAAGATACTTAATGCATGTTGTTATAAACATTCGTAAAATATAACTAATAATAAGGGATTCTAAAATTAAGTCATTTAAAAAATTGTAACAGTGTTATAAAACCATCTTTATATTGAAAAGTGTATAATAAATCCATATCGATTCACTTTTAAGATACGAAACTCATGATTTTAGTACAACCTTACTCACACGGACAACTAGATATGGTATACGTATATAGGATCTCTGGCTAAAACATTCAGATGTGTAATAGATGTATACAAAAGTATATCAAATGTGCTGGGGCATATACAAATCTCCGCGCCGTCTACATATAGTATATGTATTTTTGAACATTCCACTTTCATTTAATATACATTCCATATGGATAAAGTACGTATATTATATGTAAACAAGGTATATGGTAGACATATGATGTATAATAGCCGTATATAAAATATCTGACACAGACGTATATACGTATAATTAACCAATAAATAAAAGTTTCAATAGATGTTATGCCTATATTCAAAAGTTCAACAGCCGTACACTTGACATATTATTCACGTATAATATTATACGTATTTTATACATATATAAGAAGTATTCCAAATGTAGATGGCATAATTTAAAAAAGTATTATTTATTTTGCACTAAATGCATTTTTTTTAAGAATCAATTTACCACGATCTGTTTAGGGATCTGAAATCTTCGAGATATACAAACATCTGACATTGAAAAAATCCCCATGGTGGTGACCGGGATTCGAACTCGAATCATTTAGGTAACAGACTACAATACTGCTGACCACCGAGTTACCGTAGTCCTATGGATTGTGCGATACGTTTCGCATATTAAAACACCACAGTAATAAGTTTAATTAAAATTTGGTTTAATCAATATCATTTATATTGCCAATCTCTGGCCAAAAATAAGGACATGTATATAAGATATATATATAGTGACGATCACCGGGTGGGCGATCGCCCCAGGGCTCCGAATGATGAACAATAATCCTGAAATCCATTAAAATCCTTTCCGATGGCAGTGGTATTATTTTTTAATTGTATCATTTCATCCATGTCTTATTTCAGCACGCTCGGCGCTCAAGGCCGAAGAGGAGAGGAGTCCGAATATACGTCGCGTTACCTGTTTTTTTGGTATTATAAGTTGTGTACAGCTTAAACGTTAGGACGTCCTCGCGGTGAGGCGTGTGCGGGCAAGAAGACAACATCCACCGCGGGACAAGGGCGCCCTCGAGGGACAGCAGAAAAGTACGACAACGGTGGCAGAGAGGTCTCGCCCCGCCGCCGTCCATAGGTGCCGGGGCCACGCGGAGTAGGGCCGATCTGAGCCACCCGCGACCCCGCGCTGGACGGCAAGGGCCGACCCATGGCGGCGTCGCTGGGTCACCGCGTCCGTACCCGGATTTCCAGCCCCTCGCTAATGGCGGGAGGAGGGCGCGTTGCCGGTGACCGTGGCCCCCCGCCGTGACCTTTGACTCAAGGGAGTACATAAAAGGGCGGTGAGGGGGGTCCCAATTGCGTCGCCCTCCTACGCCGAGGCCAGGCCGCGGTGACCCCAGGACGGAAGGGCCCACTGGTCCCCTCACCCGGGACCCGTTGCATCGAGAGATGTCGGCACCCCCGGGTAAAGTCACGAGGAATCTTGGCTCAAGGGAGTCCAGGACCGGCGCCACCGAATCCCCGAGGAGCTGCATCCCTGGACCTGCGGATAACGTCACGCGCCGTCCACGCGCCCCGATTAGGCCGCGGGATCCACTTCAAATCCGGCGCGCGAACCTGCGCCGCGGCTGTCATCATCCAAAATCCTCGAAATGTCGATCGTAACCGCTGTCAATTGGCCGACGCAATTTGGCAGCCGACGGCGGCCAATAAACAAGAATTTCGAGCTGCCGACGAGGAACCGTCGAGGCTTTCCGGAGGACCGCGGCGAGGACCTGGTCTTCTTGGTCCGCGAGCGTCAAGCGAAGAAGACGTTTTTCCGCTGCCTTCGTCCTGCCCTCGCTGCCTCCACTGAAGAAAGACCTGGAGAGATTGCTGCCTACGGTGGACTTCCATCGAAGGAGCTGTCGCACTCGCCGAGCCCGAGGCTTGAACGTATAGTACTTTGATTAGATTTTGAATAGGATTTTAGTAGATTCCCCGTTTTCACGTTTTTCCCCGGGTAACCCGTCACCGGACCGTGCGCCACGCGCCCTTCCGCGTCTAATCGGCCAGGATCCCGTGTGATCGGCCTTTTCCGTTTCTCTCGGCCTAGTCTCGTGTGAACGGCCAAATTGTAATTTCGTGGTCAAAGTCTCGTATGAGCGACCATTTTTCGATATTGACGGCCTAGTCTCGTGTGAGCGGCCTAATTATATTTTCGCGGCCAAAGTCTCGTGTGAGCGGCCCTTTTTATATTTTCACGGCCAAAGTCTCGTGTGAGTGGCCTTTTTGAATTAAAATATCTTATTGCTGCCTCTCTCCTCGGTCGGATCAAGCAGCCGTGTCGACCCGAACTCAAGGATGCTATCTTGAGCGGTCGACACGTTAATGTCCTTTTGTTTCGCGAAGTGCGAACTTAAATTCCGTTTTCGCGAAGTGCAAATTTTGTTTAAATAATTCCCGTTTTCGCGAAGTGCGAATCATAATTAATACATGTAATTTTTCGCGAGGTGCGACTTTTCAGTCAGTTTCCTTTTTTCGCGTAGGACGAACCCTCAAATACATTGTTGTCGCGAAGTGCGACCCGTTATAACCTAGAACTCTGTTTTCGCGAAGGGCGAACCCCTCTGTAATTCCCCGTTTCCGAGCTGGAAGTTTCTGGTGGAACGGTGTCTGCCTTCGATTTAGCCGTTCCATTTATAAATCGACGACTGAATATAAGTCCGGTATTTCAATCACAGTAAGATGCTAGTCTCGTGATCCCATAAACTTTAGTTGAATGTTAATTATTTCCGCGCGAATGTAATATATAAAATGTAATGTGTCCGAGGCCTCTTTGTTTCTTGCGTCGATTATTAGCGCCGATATTTTGAAAGTGCTGTTTTTAGTTGCGCTCCTTGTATAATTTTGTTGTGTTATTCCTGCCTTCATCGCCGAACCCGTTAAGTTATTCTGCTTGCGTCTGTTCGCCGATTGACTATTTTCTTAGTGTGGTTGTCCGCTTTTCCCACGTTAATTTAGTTCCGCGTAGATACTTGCGTTCGTGCGAATCTTTATTTTCACGTTATCTTGAATTAATTCATATTCTTGTCCCGTAGTTGAGCCTAATCTTATAATCGAAGATATAGTTTCGCGTTTTGGATTTTTGCGTTTTGGGATTTTTGGCTGTCTAAAGCCACCGTTTCTTTCCCGTGCGTTTCGCCGCGCGCATCGTCTCTTCGAGCGCGAGCGCGCGATCCGTCGCCTGGGCCGGTACCGGATTGTGGGCCCGCTCGTGGCCATTTTGGTGAAATTGTCAAAGTCAATTCTTTTTCGTTTGGAATAAATAGGTCATTAATTTAATTCCGCCTCTGGCTTGCTTTTTTTTTTAAAGGACCCCGCCCTCTCCGCTTGGGCGTACTGAGTCGCTTGGGCGTACTGAGCTAGCCCGGTTTATTTTTCGTCGTCGGCGACGCTGAGTCTCGTCTCGTATCGCTACGTTTCGTTCAATTTTTACGCGTCTGGGACTTTAAGATAATTTTGCTTCTGTTAGTTGAGGGACCGACCCTTTGGGCCTTACGCTGGTGCGAATCCGTGGGCGGGTTGGGAGGCTCATCGCTGGTGCGTGAGCTCCCATACGTTGGTGCGAGCCCCGACGAATTGGGCCCGTGCGGTTCGGGTCCCGGATTGGCCCTTTGGAGGGCCTGGCGCCCAAAAATTTTGCTGCCGTTGAGCGACTACGAGACGGAGACTCCATTTTTGTAGACTATTTATTTGTGACTCCACCGGAGGGTCGGAACGTTAATTGCCAGAACTTTGTTTGGGAGTTATACTAGTAAAAATAACGTCATAATATATATATACACACAAATACTTGTACTTGTATAAGAAAACCGTCGTAGCCAAAACGATATATCTCGTGACATCATTTTGATTTTGT